AGCGCGCAATTTCAAGTCAACGCTTCGGCCTGCTCCCAATCGAAGCAGACTGTAGTTTCTGTTTTCTGAGAAGTTCATGGCATATTCCCAGATATCCACGTGGAAACAGCTCGCGTCAGCTTCTTGTCTATTTTTTTGCCACTTCCTTTTCTTTTGTCACTTAAAACTTCTTTCTTCTTGTGAGGCGTTCCTTTGAACTCTAGTTGGCTTGTCTTGCAGCAACTTCGGCTTTCACCCTAAGAAATAGCATTTTGATCAAGAACTTCATGTGATAAAGACAATAAGTGAATCGTACAAACCCACTAGCGTTCACAAAAGTACTTCACAAGAAGAAAGAGACATGAAGTGACGAGAAACAGGCGAGAAGCTGACGTGAACTGCTTCGACGTGGATATCTGTGAACATGCGACGATAGAACTTCTCAGAAAACAGAAGCTACTCTCTAACTTACCCTTTTCTTCTTTATCAGCAGAGAATCACTTAATAAGCATAGAATAAGCAAAGAAAACACTCGCAAACACTAGCGCGGGAACCCGCAAGGCAATTATTGACGCCCAGCGTTGTCGCGTCTGCAGGGACATTATACTAAGCAAGAAATCTACTCGACTGTACCTTTCTGAATTCGCACATAAGAAATCTCATTTAGTTGTAGCATCAGCTGATTTTAATGCGATCACTTTTATCTAATATTAAGCTGGAAACTAAGTTTTGCAACTCCTTTAATGACTTCTCTATCGTTGAACGTGCTGCAATCAAATCCTGCCAATATATAGATTATGACATAAGCTACAAGCGGAGTTGTTGTTCTGCCAAATTCTGACGTTGCATGAGGCTTACTGTATATGATTTGAGGAGGAAAGTTACAAATTATCACGTTTTTGGTCAAAGCTTGGTTAGAGGGTTAGTCGACATGACGATCACGAAAAACATACTGAATTTTTATGGTGAGGGCTTTTTGGTGAGATTACTGTTGCTTCAGGGCATGCCGTTACGCCTTAAGCAAGAAAAGGGGCGCTTTTTAACAAATGGGTATGATATTCGTATTCGGCAGGTCAGAAAACCAGTTATGCGAAGACTTTGCGAATTCTGAGGTTTCGGCTCCTTATGCATTGGTGGTTGTCTCCAGCAGCCTTGTGCACAACGATTCTTTCAACGTGAAGGCGCCAGGTTTCGATTTGTAATTCGATTTTTTTTCCTTTTCCACTGAGGGAGATGCGTCAACAGCTTCACATACAATTTCGGGCCATTGTGCATGATCTGGGTTGCTGATGGCTTTATGTTGCTTATGAATCTACAAATCTCCAAGATTTACCAATTTTGGAGGAATGCCTGTAATTTTTGATTTCATATCCAAAAATTGAACACTTCGTGCAGTTCGTTAGCGCACATGGATACCTGTATACTGTCAAAGTTCAAGTGCTCCACATTCAATAAGAGGAAAGTTATGGAAGCGGTTGCAAAACTTATTTTCCAACCTAATATTTCCG